GTGTGTGTGTGTGTGTGTGTGTGTGTGTGTGTGTGTGTGTGTGTGTGAAGTTGTGGTTTAACAAGAGATTATGTGCAACCGACTTTTTTCTTGGCCAGTCACAATAACTCGCTACAGTCTCTGCAGGTTGCTGATGATTCCAGGAAACACCTTCTGGTGCTGACAGTTCTTCAGTGAGGATCCCGGTGGTAAAGGGGAGTGTTTTTAATTATCAGACTTCTTCTTCATGGGCGAACCAGCCGGGAGTGATCAGCCTCTAAAGCCGCAGATCCTCCTTCCGGATCCACCACGAGGCCTTTACAGCAGCTCTGCTGCACAGCAGTCCTTTTTACTCCAGGGAGTTTAGAGTTTGAGAGTTTGCTGTAGTGAATGACTGAAAGCCCCGTCGCCCAACTTTGACCGACTCACAAAGAGCTTCTCCAGCACTCTAAAAAGATCCGTCTATTTTGCCCTTTTGAGCTTGTTTGCTTCTTCGATCCGGTCTTCCCAGGGGACGGTAAGTTCCAGCAGGACCACTTGTGCTTTGTAGACTCGGATGTTAAATGAATTCGCATTTGTATGGCTATATTTCTAGTCTTCCAACCACTCATGCGGCATTCACCCACAAACACACAAACACACACACACACACACACACACACACACACACGCACACACACACTTTCATACACAGATGACACAGCAGCTTTCTGGAACAATTTGGGCTTCAGTGTCTTGTCCAAGGTGCCCCTCTTCTGGCACAGCTGGTATACGTCATCGACTGATTTGATGAGAAACTTGATGTGTATTTGTGACCAGGTGAGCTTTTAAGGTTCTGCATGCTCCTGTCTGGTCCAGGCACCTTGTTTCTGTAAATGCCGACCATCTTACGACAGCGTTCTTCCTCAAGGTCAACCTCTGTTTGCTTCTCATCTTCAACCAGTTGCAGTCTCTTATATCCAGGGGCTTTTATCAGAGCGTGGTTTAAGGAAAACTGCCGACTGCCGCCCACCGAGATGTTGTGCCTTAGCCGTGCTCTGCTCTGTCGACAGCTTCCTGGGCCTGACACTGTCCTCTGGTCTTTACAAGGACTCCTGCCAAAGCGACAACCTCACAGTGACGACAAGACTCCGTGAAGTCGAGGTGTCAAAAAATGATCCTTTTTGTCACAGACGTTTGTGTCGCTTTTAGTTTGGCTGTCCTGCTGATAGGAACGTGAGATCAGAAGACGTCCACGTGACGTTCTGGAAAGCAAAAACAAACAACCTTGTTTTTTGTTTAATTGAGAGGACTTTTTAAAAGTTAAGTTCATCTCAGGTAAGAATAGAGTTGCTGCTAAAACATTAAAAAATGTAATTAAAAAAGTACAACTCTTGGAATACTCTGCTCTGAAAGTGAATTTTCAATCACTCCCGACTTCCAGGCTTCATTTACTTTTCATGTTTTTTTTTCAAAGCATGCCCAACTGCTGATCAACAGACATCCATTCATCATCTTCAAGTGCATCTCTGTGCTCTTCTTTGACTGAACGCAGGGAGTAAATGCCTCAGGTTCTAAATAAACCTCTCAGAACATGCTGAGTGTGAACGTGCCCTGAATCTGCTGATAAGAGTTATGTATGCATGAAGCACAGGAGATGGAATATGTTCACAAAAACAACCACAAGAGGGTTTTCTGTGTCTCTGTGCATGAGTGTGTGTGTGTGTGTGTGTGTCTTCCTGGATGTTTTGTGTATTCACAATGATATCCTGCATAATTATACAATCAACAAACACATCCGAAACACAGAGTTAGGTCAAAGATACAAAAGAAGCACAAGTGTATTTGCATATACTGTGTGTGTGTGTGTGTGTGTGTGTGTGTGTGTGTGTGTGTGTGTGTGCGCGCATGTGGATGCTTGAATGCAACCAACACAGTCAATATTATTCACAGTGAAGACTCTGTTGTTTTAAGCGCCAACAAAGTGCATGTCGGATGAGGGAGAGGAGAGTATTTGCCCCGTTTGGATGAAAATCCAAAGAGTTGGCGAACGAAGCGTTTGATGTGATGAATGAATGATTCAAAGTCTCCGGGGACCATGTTGTCTTTTTAAACCCCCTTTCTCTTCTCTTCTTATTTTGAACTACAGCCAATGGTCCACATCCATCTCCTTGTTTCCTCCAGCATGCACGCATCCTGTGTTGAATTGTTTTCATCTGAGCTGCCGTGAGGTTATTTATAAGTCATGTGCTATTTGTGGTTCAGTTTTGGGCAAACAGTCGATGATGTTATTCTTTTTGGGGGTGAAATGAAATGCATTCTATGCTTTCATGTAAAACAAATGTGCAAGAGGTCATTAAACACTCACGGCTCAGGTCGTGTCACGGTTTTGAATCACGGATCGGATCAGCACAAAAGAACAAAGGGAGCAAATAGAACTTTTAGAGATGTCACGATTATGGATGTTTTTTTGCTGCCGATACCAATTGCCGAACTCTGATGATCCTAAAGGATGATATAAAATGATTTATGACTGATTTTAGAAAACCTTTTTGTTATATATTTTTTTAAATGACAGAGTTACGTTTCTTAAGTTTAAAGTTTTAAATTCTCATAACATCCAGACAGCAATCAATAAATGAAAAGCTCTGACAAAAAAGACAATAATTAGTTATCTGTGGCTGTCGCAGGACTATAATAAACCCGTCCAATCATGTCATTCGGTCTGGATCCCATGTTCGTTGTTTACGTCCATTATTATAATTTTGGGGTTTGTCCACTTTCTCGCTAGATTTAGCACTTTCGGAGAGAGAGAGAGCATCATTGTTGGATGCTATAAGGCGCGTAAACGTCGTCGACAAGGACTCAGACGCTCAGAGTTGAAGTTGCTTTCAGCACGTGAGGGTCTGAGTGACCGCGAAGACCGGCAGACTGAGAGACAGACCGGCACCTGAAGCTGGAATCATGAAATAACGGAGCGGATTTGTGAATGAAACCTCAGAGTGGAAACATCACTCCAGCACGCGCGAAAAGGGACTCAATTCACAAAATGAAGCGGTCGACCTGAGATGCTTCCGATCTGCAGTTTTGTTTTACTTGTTTTTCCCCAGTTGAATTGGGAGCCGAATGCAAAACCCGCGTGCTTGCTTTCAGAAGATTTATTATTTTTAATCGCGTTTTCTGTCCGAATGTTCAGAAGATTCTAGCGTTAATGATTAGTCACCTGTCGGGTTTATAGTCTAGTTTACATCGGAGACAAGTGAACGGATTAAAGATAATAACCCTCTTCTTTCACACAAGGGTCTTGCGATTTCCCGTTTGGAGACTTAAAGGACCCCTCGCTCCAGTGCCATTACGCGCACTGATGCGCACAGCTCCCCGGTGCTCCCAGTCGCATGGACGCGGGAAGTGCACCCTAAAACCAGGCATTATGAAAAACAACATTAATTTATGAAGAAGCTTAAACCTATATAATGTTTTTCTTACTGGCATACATGTGTAGTACACGAGTACACTAGTGGGGTTGTAGTTTACCGCTGGTTTGTTGTATTGTAAAATCATATTGAGTATTAGATATAAACCGCCCATTCAAATGGCTCATCATGTAGCATGACGCCATCATATGGACTGTGCACCCCCCTCCCCTCCCCTCTCCAACAACTCTGACTGACCGCCTCCAGCATCCCCGTGCGTAATGCTGAACAGACCGACCCTCCGCGACCACGACCCGATGCGACTCCTGGACGCGAGGCAACTTCCGCAACTGATGTCCCTGGAGGACCATGAGCCCACCCTGGTGGAAGGGACCCTGGGGCCGCGCAACTCCACCCCGCCCGGGGAGGAGGGGGCTCCGGGTCAGCAGCACCAGTCCTTCCCCTGGGTGGCGACCCTGCTGGCCGGCGTCCTGATCACGACCATCGTGGTGGATGTTATCGGGAACCTGCTGGTCATCGTGTCCGTGTTCCGGAACAGGAAACTCAGGAAAGCAGGTTCGTCAGCTTCGGAGAAATATATTTTAACTTCTCATCTTCTATATTTACATTGTTATGGCCCTGATGCTAACCAGTAACTGATTTATGATTATCAATGAGTTTATTACCCAACTACCTTATTCAATTCTGAGGTTGCTTTAAGATGTTACTCTGAAAAAATATTTAAAAAAGCACAATTTGATCAATTTAGTTATTACATGAATACAGTTTGAATTCGATATTAAAATAAATTTAAGACGTTTTCCAAAAATAAATATTAAAATGACACGATAAATAAGAAAGGATTATTGTTAAAGCTATGCACCATATGGGAGGCAGTCACAATGTCCAGCAATCAAATTGAGCCGTATTGATCATAAGTGTATGTCTTTGCCTCTTCATTATGAGATTATAAACAGGAGAAATCAGGTTGGAGAAGTTCCAGAGAGCTCAGTTCTCTGTAACTTTTTTTCATCTTGACCACCTTGAACACATCACCGCTCGATGTGCTTCTCAAGGACACTTTGACAGAATGTTTTTGCAGACGATCAGGAGCCAAACGCCGCGTGACATGTTGTTATAGTCTCGTAAAAAAAAAAAAGAAAATGCAGCGCTGACAGAATATTTGTCAGAGACAGTTGGGTCTCTTTGGAGCAGCTCTGCAGTGAGGCTGAGGGATTGGCTTATTGGGTCAAAAGATTTCTGAAAAACTAAAAGAAGTGAAGCAATAGTTAGTGACTCACTGGAATCTATGTGTAAATCTAATAGTAGCCGCAGACTGAAGTGGACTACAAGCCTTCAAGAGCACTTCTGTGCATAAATAATCAGATTACTCAGGACCCCTCAAACATACAGACAGAGAAATCAATCAATCCGTGGGCTCCTTATTGTTATCCTTCACTCTGCTGAGCCACCTGGAGTAAATATCACATTAAAGCACTTAGTGAGGACGGGCACCTTCTTTGTACTCATGCAAACAATAAATAAATATTGATGAGCTTGTTTTTTTTGACGGTCTTTGCATCCCGTGAAGCCAGTGAAGCCAAACTTCATGTCTAGCTGTCAATAACCCAGGCAGTAAGAATAGACTCACACCAGCATCCCAACGCACCCATCGAAGAGAAGAAACGTTGACGATAGAGCAGCTTGTTGAAAAGTTACATCAAGGTCGAGTTGGACTGTAGAGAGAAGACCCTGCACGGGGAAACCCTTTTACACCTTTGTGGTAAAAAAATAAAACATTTTAATGTCAAAAACGACGCAGCAGTAATCGACAGTAAGCGTCACGGCAGGTTTTATGTTTTTGCAGTTGTTGTGAAAAGAATACTGTTTTGAGAATGTCAGATTATAGGTTTCAGAAAGTTACAGAAGTTGTTGATCACATCCGCCCTTATCCGACACTGGAAATGTGGTGGTGTGTGTGTGTGTGTGTGTGTGTGTGTGTGTGTGTGTGTGTGTGTGTG